CACGGCGCTCTCAGCACTCTCCAGCAAATTGTTAAGACGTTTATTGGCGGAAATTCGTCTTTGATGCACGACAGTGACAGTCATTGCGGGGACCGACTCTCTGCACGAGCTGCTCTTCTTTATAAGAAAAGGGCGACCAACTAGAAGGCACTGAAGAGGGCGACCCACTGTACGAAGGCTTTAGCACAATAATAATTATTTTGTTGTTATTAGAATAATCACTCTCATCACCACATGAGGGGCAGCGGAAAATTTTGGCATGGGCGCCGTCCAATCTAGTAGGGCACTGCTTCATCAGCATTGAACATATTTATAGAAAAAGGCTCTGTAACACACGGAGTATGCAGATACTTCTACATATTATGTGCGATCCAATTTCTTGCATTTTAAAATAGCTTTTGTAGTCTGACATGTGACTAGCTGTCTCAACTAAGGAAAAGATATTTTAATCAGTATGTGCTCAAAAATAAAAAAATTGATATATCCAAAGATTGAATGATGATGAGTGGGCCGAAGCGTGCGTCCATCCATCCGTCCGTGAGTCCGTTATTTTGTCCTTGCGACCGTCCATCCGTCCTTCCGTAAAGCTGTTCGTGCGTCCGTCTCTGCATGTATGCTTTCAACATTCGGTTTGTTCGTCCGTCCATGCGTCCATCCGTGCTTCCATTCGTCCGTCCGTGCGTCGGTGTTTCTCTCTGTCCTGTCTGTCCGTCCAAGATTCCTTCCGTTCGTCCATGTATCCGTACACGCTTCTATCCGTCTGTCCGTCTGGCCGTCCTACGTACGTCTGTGCTTCTGTCCGTCTGTCTTCTCTTGCCTCCTACGTCAGTTCAAGCATCCGTCCGTGCGTTCGTATGAACAGATTAGTAAACAGAGGCATGGACGCATGGAAGGCTGGATAGAGGAACGAACGCACGGACAGACGGACCAACTCCCGAAGAAACAAATGGAAGCATGGACGGGTGGACGCGGACGGACGGATGCGTGAATGGATGGATGGACAGGCGAATGGACAGATGAATACAAGGACGGAGACGCGGACATTTGGCTCCACTCATCATGCTCACTCTGTGCTTATGTTGTGAAAACCACTAATGCCAGCTAGCTGTATTGTTCTTAAGGGCATATACACACAGCGCCATCTATTCAGTAAGCCATAAACTGCAGGTAGCTACTCACTTACGCAGGAGAGAACTACCCACGGTCTAAGAAGCTTCACCCCTAAAACTTTGCCCCCCTTGTCAACACGATACCTTTGTCGCTGTACTGGTGAGTTCTGTTCGTGGATTCCATCCTTGTGGCGGCAGTCATATTTAAATGCTGACAAAACGAAAAAAATATCAATGCATATCCATGGAGTGAATAGTGATGAGTCGAGTGAAGCACCCTTCTGTCTGTCGGTGCACCCGGCCGTCCGTCCATTTGTGGGTCAGTGCAACTGTCCGTGCGTTCACCCATCCGCCCATCCGTCCGCGAATCCCTTTGTCTGTACGTCCATCCGTATCGATCTCTCCATAAATCCGTCAGTCTCTTTGTTTGTCTGTATGTCTGTCCACCCTTTCGTACATTTCTGTTTCTGCCAGTCAGTCCATCCGTCCGTCAGTATGTCTGCCTAGTTGTCCTTCCGTTCGTCCCTATGTCCGCCTGTGCATCTGTCCCTACGTGTGTTCGTCCTGTCTGTCTGTCTGTCTGTCTGTCTGTCTGTCTGTCTGTCTGTCTGTCTGTCTGACCGTATGTCCATCTAGCGGTTCCTACGTCCGCCTTTTTCTGTAAGTTAGTCCCTCCGTTCGTCTGTCTATCCATATAGTGAACACTTCAAGTACCACAATCTCGGATCTTTTCATGATATATTCATCATATGCAAGTACAGACACCAAGCAGACGTTCCAATAATAAACGAGAGGTGGCTACCTACTACATACGTCAAGGACGCACGACCCACAGCCTGATTTTTTTGCAGCCTGACAAAAATATAAAAGACGAATTGGCAACTTTATGGCATAATATTACTAATTGTTCCATACTAATAGCGTTTTAAAAAAGAAGATGAAATTCGGCATATATGACATAGGACACATACGCGCACGTATTTCTGGGCTTGGCTTTTATTCATGTGAATCACGCAGCAATATTTGCATTTAAAACTGCTCGATTTACATCAGAAAGTACGTTGTTAGCGCTGTGTATAAAACACTTTAAAACAGTTTTGTCGCCTGACAGGCAAGCGTAACCATTGCATTTATTACAACGCGTTCGAGTGCGAGAAGTGCATTCTGGAAGCCTGCAGCAACGAGCAGACGACAAGCTGTCCACTGATGGCTCATGGTCGTACAAGTTCAAACGTTTGTCCACGCCAGGCATCTTCGCAGCTGCAGGGGATCTCTCAATATAATAATTTCGTTGCGTGTTCTCGTTGTTGCTTTCGACTCTCTTGCATTTGGGTGACGCGCAAAGTGCCTCAGCGACAGCAAGACAAAAGTCCAAGAGGCTCAATAAGTGGCGTCTGAACACCACGTGTTTGCCACAGGCGTCCTGGTATTTTAACTAGCCGTTGGGAATTGCCAGGTCCAACACATGCAAGCTGACCTTAAAGGTTCACTTTTTTGTTTTAACTGCCACTCTGTAATATTCAACCAGTTGGTCGCAGGTGTTAACAACTCCCATGCTTGCATAGTAGTGCCTGACGACTTGCGGTGCGAACACACCGATGTACTTTTTCTCTTTTTTGGACCACCACTTCACAGAATTGACTTTTGCGGTACTGGCAGATGCGGAAGCCACTGCACTGTCCTGCTGTAAGTTCCACTTTACAACTGCTACGTTCTCATCGTTTCGAGTCAGTGCATCAATGTGTCTTTGCTTCATTTCTGAATTGCTTTTGAAGCGGGCATTTGGCACTCGATTTGGCATGATAGTACCCGTGTCAACAATGCCTTTTTTGAGAAGTTCGTTTGGAAGAGGGATGCTCGTGGAGTACACGTCAAAAAATATCGACGATTTTTCTGGCAATGTACGAACTAGCCTCAGCACAGCACTTGGGCAAAAGCCTATTGACGTTTCAGCAAGAGGTGTGGACTTTCCTTGAAAAATCTGAAAGTTCATTACAAAACCCTCCATGTGGTTACAGCAAAATATTTCAGCCTGATTAGTCTAGGCTTGCTTTCACATATTGGCGGAGAGTACACCTACACATAAATGGTAATATTTTCTCATCAACTGAGTAGCAACAGGGAGCTCTCTCAAGTTGTGTGCTTCTGACCGCATTAATTATTGGCTGAACTTTCCCAAGCCTGCTCACACCGTCTGCATCTCGCGGTTTTTCTGTGTCAACGAAGTGTGGACTTGACCGTAGCTTCTTGGAGTTTTCTTGTGTCATTACACTGCGGATGGGATCAAAATGGTACCCTCTTTTTCAAAACATTTTCAGCTGCGGAAGTTGAATGCTGCCCATGACTAAATGCATACCAAAGAGCTGATTAACCTTCTCCATTGTCGCTTGCAGATATTTTTCATGCTCTGACATGTGGTACATATTGGTCTTTTCAGTGGCATTTTCAAAATACTGCTCCTTAAAATATTCTGAAAAGTACGTCAAAGAAGCTTTTACATCTACTAAAACATCGACCCTTTCAACGGGTCCAGGTGGGTCAGGCTTTTTGGGGAAAGGCTTCTTCATCCGAAAGGTGTGACTTCTACTGTTGCTCCAAAGGGTGTTGACGGGTCACCTGAGGCAGAAGATGCGGGAACAGAGTGGTCAATATCTTCATCACTGTCACTGTTTGTTGCTTTCAACGCCACCTTCATTGATTTACGATTTTGAATTTCAGCCAGCTGGTCGTCATCGTTGCTACTGAATTCGATGTCAAAGCAATCAGGAGTTTCAAGATTTCGTCCATATCAATTTGATCTTCTGGATTGAAAATTCCTGCAGGTGAAAACATTACAAAATTTATGCATCACCACAACAAAAAGCTAGATGCCTAAGTTAACTGAAAGCTATGGCAATGAAATATTGCGCCAAAATGTTGACCAAACGATATTGATACTCAATGTGATTCATAAAAGATAATAAACAGAACAAATGTTACAACTACACCTGTATATTAGGCTAACTGCATTTCCTCACGGTTTCGGTTACAGGCGTTGTTTCATACAGTCAAGCAGGCAATAATTTGTCCACTAATGGTAAAAAGAATTCACGTAACGTCACAACGTGTCACTAACTTGACTTGTAAGTAAACACCATGAAACAGCTATATACAGGAAACCACCAACACGACTCGCAAATTTTTTAGGAATCCAAAGATATGCCACGCCCTCACAACAGCGCATGAGTGCACCCAGTTGCTGTGTACCACGAAGCATTTCACGACAACAAAGCCCAGTCCGTACAAACGTGAGTCTGGCTTTTTATGCTCGTGACCACAAAACGCAGGCGATGAAAACAAGGAAATATTCTAGTGCAACATGTTTCCCGACGTCTCAAAATTGCATTTCTATAAAAGTATTTCGGAGAATACACGAATATCAAGAACAAACGCTGACTTACGCTTCTGGGGCAGCCGGCGTGGACGTACATGCTGAGACGCCATGTCTGCTTGAGAAATTACTCGCCCTTTGCTGGCCTAATTCATGAAGCACTGAAAATAACATATTCTCCTGGAAATTTACACTACTAACAAAGGTATCTGAAACCGAAACTGAAACTAGGTAATGTTCAGTGACTCATTTTGCTTACCTACACGTTTATGTGGACTGGGTTGTAAAAGGTTAAGGAGCTTCGCCCCTAAAAATATTCTTTAAGTGAACCAACTTTATGAAATGAATGGCTTGTAGTGATACTCGTACGTCGGTGTTCGTGCATTTGCAAAAAGAGAAGCGCAAGTTGCATTGAATGGGATTTTTTTTTGCATGTCATTTACTGGCGTTTCTGTGAACATTCCAGTAGGCTGCTAAGAAACAGTGCGGCAAAGATGGTATTCTTCAGATCAAGTGCCAGTGGCGCCGTGGCTTAGGTGGTTAAAGCACCTGTTTTGTATACAAGAGATTGCGAGTTCGAATCTCGCCGGTGCCTCTTCTGCTTACGCTTTTCTTCGCGTGTGGACTTTTTTTTTTTGGTCATGGTCTCACTTTGGACTAATGTGTTTCTTGAGGGAAAATAATAATATTATGCCTACATTTTACAAATTATTTCGATTACTTTTCTATGCACATGTCAACAAAAACTGGCGCCTCATATAACAACAAAATTTTACATGCGAAGAATAAAAGAGTCGATGCACGTTCCCGCATTGGCTGTCTTTTTGGAAAGGGCAATTTATATTTGAGGTCAACATTTGTCTTCTTTTGGACGACAGAATTCTCGTTTATTAACAGCCGGCAGCAGCGCTTTCCGAAGAAACAGCACTGCAGCAAAATTGGTGGGAAATGATAAAGGAGCTTTCAGTGGAAGAAGGCTAAATATAGAGAGATATTTTACATGAAGGTATTGAGACTGGTAAGTTGAAGTGCTCATCACACCATGCCATAACTCGGTGCGATTTGGCAGGGTCATGGGCGTCCAGATGGGGGTGCAAGAAAGAATGGGTGGCCATCCTGTAGAAATTTCGGGTGTTTCGTGCACTGCCTTAGCAGATCCCAAAGGCCAGATTTAATGAATGCCATAAATAAGTTGGACAAAATACTTTTCTTGGTGATGTGGCAAAAATACTAAGAAGCACGCTTACATTCCGGCTACTTCGTTTCTCGTTTGTGTAATTACATGTATTTACTAACTTTGTATATTTTGTCAAAAGAAGACATGTGACCACCATGGTTTTACTTCTCTTTCACCATTTTTCCAACCATGGGGACTTCTGCTGAGTCGTATGATGTGTAGACGTCCAAGACGCTTTTAGTTCATGGTAGTGGGCAATAAATAAAGATATTGCTCATTCGCTTTTCCAGAACAGCCAGAGGCCTTTTTAGATGCGAAGCAGCTTAATCAGTAGGTATTGTCCCTCCCTCTTTCTCGCTTCGTGCACTTACCCCGCTTCGCATCCACACATGGCTGCGTTTAGCAGGAGTTCGTGTAAATGAATAGCACATAGAAGTAACAGTAGTATTACTGTAAAATATGAATAATAATACTTAATAATAATACAACAACCACTATAATCACCAAATAAGGGGCAGGGAAATATTTTGGCATGGGTGCCGTCCAATCTAGCTAGAAACTGCTTCATCAGGATTGAATATATTCATAAAAAAAGTCTGTGTAACACACGGAGTATGCAAATACTTCTAGATATATGTGCGACCCAAATTCTTGCATTTTAAAATAGCTTTTGTAGGCCAACATATGACTCGCTGTCTAAACCATGGAAAAGATATATCTTAATTAGTATGTGTTCAAAAAGAAAAAAAGTTGATATATCCAAAGATTGAATTATGAAGAGTGGGCCGAAGCGTTCATCCATTCATCCGTCCGTGATTCCGTTTTTTTGTCCTTGCGATCCTCCGTCCGTCCTTCCGTAAAGCTGTTCGTGCGTCCGTCTCTCCATGTATGCTTCCAACATTCGGTTTGCTCGTCCGTTCATGCGTCCATCTGTCTGTGCCTCCATTCGTCCATCCGTGCGTCGGTGTTTCTCTCTGTCCTGTCTGTCCGTCCATGATTTCTTCCGTCTGTCCATGCATCCGTACGTGCTTCTATCCGTCTGTCCATCTGTATGTCCGGCCGTCCTACGTGCGTCTGTGCTTCTGTCCGTCCATCTTCTCTTGCCTCCTACGGCTGTCCATGCATCCGTTCGTGCGTCCATACGAATAGATTAGTGAACAGAGGCATGGACGCATGTAAGGCTGGATGGAGGAATGAACGCACGGACAGATGGACCAACTCTCGAAGAAACAAATGGAAGCGCGGAAGCAGGGACGGGTGGACGTGGACGGACGGGTGCATGGACGGATGGATGTACAAACGAATGGACAGATGGATACAAGGACAGACACGCGGACGCTTGACTACACTCATCATGCTCACTCTGTGCTTATGCTGTGAAAACTACTAATGCCAGCTAGTTGTATAGTTCTTAAGGGTATATACGCACAGCCCCATCTATTCAGGAAGTCATAAACTGGAGGTAGTTACTTACTTACGCAGGAGAGAACTACCCACGGCCTAAGAAGCTTCACCCCTAAAATTTTGCCCCCCCCCCCCTTGTCAACACGATACCTTTGTCGCTGTACTGGTGAGTTCTGTTTCGTGGATCCCATCCTTGTGGCGGCAGTCACATTCAAATGCTGAAAATAACAAGAAAACTCTCAATACATATCCATGGAGTGAATGGTGATGAGTGGAGTGAATCGCCGTTCCGTCTGTCGGTGCACCCGGCATCCTTCCATCACTGGGTCAGTGCAACTGTCCGCGCGTGTATCCATCCGCCCATCCACCCGTGAATCCGTCTGCTGTCCGTTCGCCTGTCTCAATCTCTTCGTCAATCCGTCCGTCTCTCTGTTTGTCTGTCTGTCTGTCCACCCGTTCGTGCATCTGTCTTTGTGCCAGTCAGTCCATCCATCCGTCCGTATGTCTGTCCATTTGTCCGTCCGTTTGTCCCTATGTCTGCCCGTGTATCTGTTCCTCCCTGTGTCCGTCTTGTCTGTCTGTTCTTATGTCCATCTAGTGGTTGGTACATCCACCTTTTTCTGTGTGTTTGTCCCTCCTTTAATCTATCTATCCATCTAGTGAACACTTCAAGTACCGCCATCTCGGATTTTTCATGATATATTGATCATATACAAGTACTGACATCTAACAGACATTTCAAGAACTAAACGAGAGGTGGCTATCTACTACATACGTGGAGACGCTTCTCGACCGACGAGCTGGAAGGTTGTCGCGGCGCGCTGTTGCAACGAACGCTTCTGGCGTCTGTCAACAGTTCTCTTGTTCCGGTCATTACCGAGGCGGCTCCCTTTGTAGCGGAGCCCACTTAAGAAAGGAGATGATTGCACCGTCGAGATTCCAACCCCTCCGCCAACTGGGTGATGCTTCTAACAGCCAAGCGGACCCCACTATCCAAGGATCATCCCGGTCAGGGCTTCCGAGCGACCCACCACCAAACGGCCCCACCACCACAGGAAACCAAGTAAGCTCGCATCTTTTTGCTGAGCATCATGCGGCATTCGAGCATACAGCTATGGACGACCAGGAAAGCTGGACTGTAGTACAGAACCGAAAACTCCCACGACCCAAGCCACCAACCTCCCCACAGCCACAGACGCTATTTGAGATCATAATGTTGAGGCCTAAAGCATTTAACATCACCCAGATTCCGCCGTACCAGTTTGCGTATAGACTCCGTGTAAATCTTCCTCAAATAAAAGGGTCGGACATTCACTGCAGACCCTTCACCAAGTCTAACCTAGAAGTAGTTGATTGCTACATAGGGCAAGCTGCACATCTACTGCTGAACCTGGAGCACCTGATCATTGACAATCAAATCGTGCAGTTTAATACATATGTTGCGTTCCGTGAAGGGCACACAAGAGGCGCCATTCCGAGAATCAAGGGATTAACTGAAGATCACGAATGCAAGGCTTGACAAGTTCAACTCACGATATCGTGTCAGCACGACCCCTCGGGTCGTCTAACACAGCACTAACCACGTTCAACGGACCAAACCTGCCAGAATACGTGGCTTTCGAATCAGTACATTTCCCTGTGCACAAATACAGACTCAAGATAACGTCATGCTTGAACTGCTTAGGTATAGAACGCAAAGCTGACGTTTGCACAGCCCCGAAAAGGCGCCCAGAAGTTTTCACAAAGTGCCATACGACACATGCGGAGGATTTTATCTGTACTCCGAAATGCATATACTGCAGTGGACCCCGTGACTCGCGCTCGCCCCACTGTCCAAAGGTAGCAGCAACTACTGCGGCTCTTCGCAAGCGAGTGAACAAACCACACAAGCCAGTGGCACTCTATTCCTCACCGAACCGCTGTGGCTCAGGCAAAAAGACCCAAAAGACGCAACAGTCAGAGGAACAGAACTTTTAGTCTCTTGCAAACGATCAACTAACACTCATACCGCAGACGCGCCCGCAGTCGGCAACACAACCTCCGACGCAGCTAGCGTCCCCCACCACATATGCAGCTGAGGTACATAACACGCAGTCTCCACCTAATGCCTCGCCTGCACCACAGACGAATCCAAGCGTTCTGCAAGAACTAGTGTAACCTCGAAACACCCAGAAGAAGTATCTGCAGCAAATTATTAGCGACCAACAGAAAACTATTGATGAACTAAAAACTGTGATTATCCAATTAAAAGAACAAAACGCTGCCAGAGACGCTCTAACCTTGAGTCAAGCGCAACTCTCCCCCGAGCATGAGCAATACGAGCGTCGCTTCGAGCAATTCGTGGCACAGCTACAGCACATGCAACACATTATTGAGACACTCAAACCAAAAATGTCGGTTAAAGGTAACAAACGCGTGAGGCAAGTGCAGATCAAGAAGAAACCATAGATTCAGAATCATGTCTCTGATAATTCAGTGGAACGCGAGAAGCCTTTGCAACAAAGTTGATGACTTTCTTTACATCATAAACGCTCTCGAAAAAACTCCCGATATCATTTGCGTGCAGGAATCGAGTAAATATTGCCCCATTACAGGCTATGCCGGCGTTTCATCTGGTCGATGTATTACGTATACAAAGAAGAACCTTCCGGCGGTCCACGAAATCCTTCCTTCAATTTCATTCTTGTGCATTCAGACTCATGCCGAAATAGAGGGCAAGACATACGAAATATCAAACTGCTACAGCCCTCCCAAATCAAGTAATGTGGAGCTATCCCTCAGTAAAATCGATCCTAAAAGTCCAACCTTAATTCTGGGAGACTTTAACGCACCATGCATCCTCTGGGAGTACTCACACGATTCTCCCAAAAGGAAGCAACTAAAAAAAAGCTTTGGAAGACGTCAGCTTTACCCTCCTCAACACGCCAGGCCAATACACAACGATCGGTGGCGTGAATCAGAATAATACATCGCCATACCTCACGTTGGTTTGGCACCTACTAAAAGGTACACAC